AAAAAAAAAGAAAGAAAAAGCCTGGGGCCGGGTGCGGTGGCTCAAGCCTGTAATCCCAGCATAGCACTTTAGGAGGCCGAGGCGGGTGGATCACCTAAGGTCAGGAGTTCGAGACCAGCCTGACTAACATGGTGAAACCCTATCTCTACTAAAAATACAAAGTTAGCGGGGCATGGTGGCGAATGCCTGTAATCCCAGCTGCTCGGGAGGCTGAGGCAGGAGAAGCGCTTGAACCTGGGAGGCAGAGGTTGCAGTGAGCCGAGATCATGCCATTGCACTCCAGCATGCGCAACAAGAGCAAAACTCCGTCTCAAAAACAAAAAACAAACAAACAAAAAAAAGAGAAAAAAATTGAATACCATCTAAAAGTTAGGGACCTAATTAAATCATTCTTGCACAATTTATCTACCCAGTGAAATGTTATGAAATCATTAAAAAGAAGTCCAGGCGAAGTGGCTCATGCCTGTAATCCAAACACTTTGGGAGGCTGAGGTGGGTGGATCTCCTGAGCTCAGGAGTTTGTGACCAGCCTGACCAACAAGGTGAAACACCGTCTCCTAAAAAATCAAACAAAAAAAAAACCCCAAAAAACCTATATATGCTGATGTAGAATGATTTCATATCCTTAAATTAAAACAAAACAGGGCCAGGCGTGATAGCTTATGCTTGTAATTCCAGCACTTTGGGAGGCCCAGGCGGGAGGATCACTTGAGCTTAGGAGTTGGAGACCAGCCTGGGCAACATGGCAAAACCCTGTCTCTACCAAAAATATAAAAATTAGCTGGGCCAGTGGTGCACTCCTGTAGACTCAGCTCAGCTACTTGGGAGGCTAAGCTGGAAGCACTGGTTGAGCCCAGGGGGAGGCTGCAATGAGCCTAGATTGTGTCACTGCACTCCAGCCTGGGCAACGGAGCAAAACCCTGTTTCTTTCTTTTCTTTTCTTTTCTTTTTTTGAGATGAAGTCTCGCTCTGTCGCCCAGCTTGGAGCGCAATGGCGAGATCTCCAATCACTGCAACCTCCGCCTCCTGGATTCAAGCAATTCTCCTGCCTCAGCCTCCCCGAGTAGCTGGGATTACAGGCATGCACAACCAAGCCCAGCTAATTTTTTGTATTTAGTAAAGACGGGGTTTCACCATAATGACCAAGCTAGTTTTGAACTCCTGACCTCAAGTGACCTGCCTGCCTCGGCCTCCCAGAGTGCTAGGATTACAGGTGTGAGCCACTGTGCCCATCACAAGACCCTGTTTCAAAAAAAAAAAAAAAAAAAAAAATTCAGGAGCTATGATAATCATATATGAATAGGAGAACTATGAATATGAGAACAACTTCAATTCCTTAACAGGATTCTGGTTTCTGAGAGCTCCATCCAGAGTCCGCCTTTCCTTGAGAAGGAGGTCCCTCATCCTTCCCAGTCCTGGGTATGTCCCAATGGGAACTGCATCTTCTTTTCTGTATCCTCTCTGTCTTTGGGCACAGGGTTGCTCAATCAACCTTTGATGAATGAAGAATGGATGGGGGTACCTCAGGCAGGATCTGACTGGGCCTTTTGTAAGATTGAGCAGGAGGGTCCAGGAAATCACTATTATTACGTTTCCAATACAACTGGCCTGGTGTTTTCCTGCAAGAGAAAGTACATCTCTGGGATAAACACCTTCACCTTCTCTCTTCCCTCACCTACTCTCCACTTCTTTGGGACAATTAGCCAACACTGGGAGGGAGCTCCAGGGTCTCAGCCCTTCCCCCTTTGGTCCAAAATAACCTCCTCCTCTACTTTGAGCAAATGCTTGGAATTCTTTCAACTGGAGGACAAAGCCTTTCATCTGCCAATTACTGATAAAGAGAAAATGCAAATATGGGGGGGGGAAGGTGATTCATCAAGGGCCCAACATTTATTGAGTGGCCACTTAGGACCCGGTGGCAGGGCAGGCATTCTGGGGGAGGCCAAGGGGAACAAACTCCCGGCTGGCCCATTCTTCTGTCGCGTTTGTGGTTTCCTCAAGGTTTGTAAAGGGAGGGGATTAAATTAGGTGACTACCCAGCCCCTTCCCACTCTGACAAACCAGGAACTCCTCATGAGGTGATATATGGACTTAACCGTTTTTACACTAAGGTGGTTACCGTTGGACCTTTTCCTGACTCCAGCTTTTGGGGCCACCATAAGGCCACCTGGGGAGAAAAAAGGGCCTCAGGGAGAAAAATTAATTAGATCAAGCATTCTATTTTTTTTTTTTTTCCTTTATTTCACTTAATTCACTTTGCATCACTCTCCAAGCTCATGCACTCTGCTTTGAACATGTTTATTTCATTACAGGGCAGTAGTGAGGCTGGTAAGTTACTAAAAAAAAAAAAAAAAAAAAAAACCAACACCTGATGGCCAAGCCAGGCTCCAGTGTGAGCCCTGGCAGGGGCACATATGAGCTATGTGATCCTGGGTGAGTGGCTTTGCTTTTTCTAGTCCTAATTTCCTTCTTTGCAAAATAGGAACGAACCAGACTATCTGTTAAAGGGTTCCTGTGAGAGAAAGACAGGAGCAAATAAAACGGTCCACGAGCTGAAGGCAGAACTCGTAGCAGTCAAACTAAGGGTTACTGATTGGACGCCGCAGAGCCAATGTGGGCGATTTCAGTTTGGAAACAAATTTTGATGTTTCCCAGCCTCATCCTTGCTTAAAAGATTTTTATAGCTAGTGAACATGAATGAAAACAAACTTCAAAGAGTAGCCTTTGGGGGTGGGTGAGAAAGACTACAGAAAGATAGGACGGGAAACTTCTAAGGTGAGTGAGGGGGAAGCTCTCTTAGGGTGACCAATACGATGCTGATAGTGACATCCTACGTCAGGCGGGGAAGTCCCTTCCCCCCACCCCCCACATGTCTATCTGATAGCTTGGGGACCGTATGGGGGAAGAGCAATCAATCATTCAGAGTCATAATTTCTCTGAGCCTCAGTTGCCCCATCCGCAAAATGACCTGCTCCAACTATCCCACAGTGTTAATGGCAGAAATAAAATGCCAGGCTCAAAGCCTGCTCTCTACAAAGTCCCTTTATGCTCGCCCTCTTGCCATGTCATTTTATCATCATCTGTTACCCCCAAGAGCAGGCCTAGCAAGGCACCGCAGCTGGGGCTGGAGGAATGTTTAGGGCCAGATTTCTCAAGCCTAGTCGACCTGAACTGTTGCTCATGATGGGAGCACATCCCAGGACCAGTGCTGGGGTCGTCACAAACACTAGTAAGTGGACAGGGACCTAATGACACCCCTGTATGTACGGAGGTTGCCGATACCTCTGCTAAGAAGCCCTGTATGATTCATCAAGGGGCACCAGAGTCCCCCTCACCCATCCCAGAGCCCCATGCACCTTTCCACCGACTCTTCTATAAACCGCCAGCAAGGTCTTACCCTTCGCTCCTGTGCGGGCTGCGTTAGGAGGCGCCAGATCCGATTCTTTCCGTCTTTCGCTCCTGAGTATCTATCTGCTCCCCTGGCCGAGCGCAAGAGCCTTTAAAAAACGTCCAACTTCTGTTTCAAGGCTGGTCGCCTCGTAAAGGACTCCACAGAGGCGGGCAGAATGAATGAATGAAAGGCCACGTCTTCCGGTCAGCTGCGGTCTGCAAAGGCTCTGGTCTGGCTGTATTTCCTGTACGTGTGTGTGTCCGTATCTTTGAGTGCCGGGAGTTTAAAAGTTAGGCAATCCTTAGAGGTGTGGAGCTGAGCTAATTTCCTTCTGAGCACCCCAAATGCCTCCTCCATATGGCAGGTCTGCAAATGGGGGGATCTGCAGAGGATCACCCCCCACGAAAAAGACATGCAGCAGCAAAACAAAAAAAGAAAAAATATATATATACAAAATGCTTTGAATTTGAGTCGGCCACACAGGTAATGTGGGGGGAGGGGTGGATGAAATAAGAGGAAGAGGGGTAGCCCTGGGGCTTGGGGGCAGGGACGGAGGTGGGGGGTCGTTTTTGGGGGTGCCAGGCCCCGGGGGCTTTCACGCCAGCTTGTTCGGCTTGCATTTCCGCGCCTCCCGCTGAGGCCAGCCGTGCAAATCTGCACCTCCCTCCCCGCCCCCTCCTCCTTCCCTCCCTCCCTGCCCCGCCATCTCCGGGATGCGCCCGCCGCCTGCAACTCGGCCCTCCAAAAGTCAGCTCTGCACACAACTCCCGGGCGGCGGCGGCGGCGCCTGCGTGCAGAGGCGCACTCGTGACCCAACAACAAAACAGCGATGCCAGGGCGCTAACGGCGCCCGGTGCCTCCTGGGCTCCCTCCCGCCCCACACCTCCTCGGGCCGCCGCCCCCACTCCCCCACGTCCCGGCCGAGAGCCCCCCCAACTCGCCGCGCCGCGAGCTCCGAGCGCGATCGGCAACAATGTTTACGTTCCGGGGATTATGACGTCGACGCCTCCCCCCCCCACAACTGCTGAAAATGGTTTCCTAGGACTTTGCAAACGGATCTGCCTAAGTGTTGGTGCAAAACTTTGTAGATCTCGGCTCTGGCTTGCTTTATTTATTTATTTTTTGGTTTGTTTTCTTTGGTCTTCCCTCCTTCCTCCCTCGGCCAAAATGCAGGGGGCAGGAGTGTTGACAATTAATTGGTGAACTCTCCTAAAAAAATGGAGGCAGAGAAAGACTCTGGAAGAAGATTGGTGTGTAGCTTTTTTTTTTTTTCCCCCAAATCTGTATCTGGCATATGATAGATCTTTTTTTTTTTTTGGTTGTTTCTCGCTGCCTTTTCTTTCCTTTTCTGTATTTTGCAAGAGGACCGGGAAAAAATAATAATAAATTGCATGCAAAAGGAAGCAAGCTGCTTACTCCAGTCCCTTTTGAGGCTTAGAGTCTCAGACACTTAAGTGGGGAGGTGGTATCGCGGAACGGCGTGGAGGCGGGCTGAGCAGGCTCGGGGTTCGCCCGGAATCTGGGGGGCTGCGGGGCCGGGCGCTGGGCGGTGGAGGGAGGAGGCAGGGGGATGCGGGGAGTGCTGGGGGAGTCTCCTTAGGAAGTGAGTGTGCGCGCGCGCTTGTGGGGAGATGAGGCAGCTGCTGGTGCGTTTTGGGGTCTCCGATCGGAGCTTTGTGGCGGGCCGTCTGCCTCTCCCCCTCCCAAGCCCCGATCCTCCTCCCCCCACCTCCTCTTCTTGCACTGGCGGGCGGACGGCGGGGGCGGCTGGGGTCTCAGCCCTTCCATTTCAGCTTTCCAGCTTCCCCGGTAGCTCGGGGGCGGCTCCAGCTTTAGAAATGCCGCCGGCCCCCGGTTCCGGCTTCCCGGCTCTGCAGCCGCGGCCGCCGGGGCTGCTGCTACCGCCGAGCCGGGCGCCGCAGCGGCTCCTCCTGGGGCCTACATTTGCCCCGCCAGCCCGTGTCCGGAGCCCCCTTCCCGGGTTACATAACCAGGCTCTCGGCCAAGTGGGCAAAGCCCAACACATTTCGGGGGCGGGGGACAGGGGAGGGCCCCCAGATGTCCCTTCAATGGCTTCCAGAGACACAGGAGGGGAGTGCCCGGTGTAGAGCGCAGCTGGACCCTCGGGGTGCGGGCCCCTCTCCTTGTCCTGCTTTTCAGCATCTTTGGCAGTTGCGCAAAGTTGCCTGGTTTGGAATGGTGGGGTGCAGGGGGCGCGCGGCTCCTGCACCTGTTAGTGCTGGGCCCAGCTTTAGAGGCGACCCTCAGCTCCCCCAATAATGTCCCGGGCTCTCTGGTTTGGGTCCTTGCAGCGCCCGATTGACCGCCAGCGATACGACGAGAACGAGGACTTGTCGGACGTGGAGGAGATCGTCAGCGTCCGCGGCTTCAACCTGGAGGAGAAGCTTCGCAGTCAGCTGTACCAGGGGGACTTCGTGCACGCCATGGAGGGCAAAGGTGAGGCGCCCCCTCCCCGGTCGCCCTCTGCGCCGCGGGCCGAGCGCACGTGGGGAGGGAGCTGCCGGTGGCTGGGTTCGTATTTCGCGCCCGCGTCCCCCATTCCAGGGGATCCGGTGACGAAACGAGGCCGAGCACTGGGGGGGTGGGGTGGGGTGGCGAGAGAGGAGGGCAGGCGGTAAGGGGGGCCGGGCATGGGCCTAGGCCCGGCCCGCGCCCACCACCAGTCCCAGGGTGGGCAGAGTCAGGGGGCCAGCGGACAGAAGGACCTGAGGATGGACTGGCGGACCGAGGGAGGGCGGGAGCGTCGCGTCCTCCCCCTCCCCGAGCCGGTCGCGCTCCATGCGCTGCCAGGGGTGCCGTCCCCTGGCTGGAACTGGGTTCGGGGCCGGGTGAGGCCCCCCAGGCCTGAAATCCTCACAACCCCGCGCCCGCTCGGGGCCTGCCAGTGAGAAACTGGTGATGGGGGAGAGGTGGGTGTTTGGGGTGATGCCCCCTTAGGCCTGGGGTCTGCAGAGCCGCGTTTCCCCGTGGGCTCTGCCAGATTGCATTAGGGACCCCGTGCGCCGCGAAGCTGTTGACCTGAACCCCGACCTGGGCCCGAGCTGTCTAGCGCCACAGCCTTGACAGGTTGAAGCCGGGAGTTGGGGTCAGGGGGTGACTTCCCTTCAGGCTTCTGGGGGAGATCCCTGTCCCCTCGCAGTTTGAAGTGAGGAAATGGGTCTCCTCCCAGGCCTGAGACTCGGAGAACTCTGTCCCTTGGGGGCCCACCCAATTTACAGCGGCATTTGGGGACGCCTCCAGGGTTTTGGAGACCTTCAGGGCCTGGATTTCTTTCTGGCTCTTCTACTGCGGGAATGGTGGGGGTCACCCTCCAGATGTTAAGGTGACATCCTCGCTTGCCTCTGAGGCCTCCAGAGCTCTGGCCCTCCCAGCCTGCAGCCAGTGTGGCTCCTGGTTGAGGAATCAGCCTTGCCTGCCCGATTGGGGTTTGGAATATGCCCTACCTAGCCTTCCCAGGCCCTTGGCTCATTTTTCCCTCTTAGATCTTTGAATTTCCTTTAAGTTACAAAGTTTCCATTTTGTTCCCCCCCACCTCTTGGAAAACCCTTGCATCCCTCAGTGAGCTGATAACCGGAGTGCCTCCTTCCCTCCTCCAAGTTCTGGTTGAGTGCCTGTGGCTCTGAGGTTAGCCCTGAGAAGAGACTGTCCCAGCTTCGAAGTTTTGCCAATTTGTCTTTTGTGCCCATCACCTCCCGGGGCGCTGGGCTCTGGTGGTGAGGAGTAGTTGTTGGGGGAGGGAAGAAGAAATTTCTCCCAGCCTGCCTGGTCCTAGAGCAGGGTGCTAGTCCCAGCTGATTTAAATTTTCTCTGCATAAATGGAATTTTAATTCTTCTCCTTTCTTCCTCCATTTTTACTGAGTTGAGCCTTTTGGTGGATCCTACCTGCAAACAATATGCAAACTCTTCCTAGTCATTTGGGAGGAATTCTCAGCCCAGGATTTCAGAGCTTTTTCTCAGGCTCATTTGAGGAAGTTGAAGCTGACCTTGGGGGATGGGTGCTTTGGGTGGGTGGGTCTGAGGGCCGGTATTCCAGCCTCAGAGAGCTAAAGTGTATCCTTAGATCTGCTGTCCCGGCTTCTTTGAAAGGGGAGGGCCCTGGGCTTTGCTCTTTAATTCAGATCTGGCCCCAAAACTTGAGGGAGGAGCTGAGAAACAGGAGCCCTTAGCCTGGATTCAAAATACATGCTTCTTAAACTTCTCTTCCTTTAAATCCTTAGGAATCCCCATTCACTGTGAGCCCCTGGGGATCTGAGCTGCTGAGGTCAGGGCTTTCCCGGCTTTGGGTTTTGTTCTGTCTCTCTTCGGAGGGGAGTTGTCTTGGCCTCCTCCTCCCCCAGGCTGCCCTGTGAACTGTTTCCCTGGGCTAGCAGCTTCAGTGGCCTGAGGCCACTTCTGTCTCCCTTCTGATGGTGGGTCCGGTCTGTCGGTCGGTCAGAGAGGCCTTCTTCCCTTGTGGATTACTTTAGTTACCTGAAGCTTTGGGGTACATGAAAATTTATCTCAAGCCCCATCACCTCCATATTCAGGGGTGTATGTTTGCGTCAGATTCACTGGTTTCAGAATTGGGGAAGGAAGGAAATTAGTCCGCGGCCTCCTTCATCCTCCAGGACTTTGGGTAAGGATATGGGGACTGCACTAGAAAACCCCAGACATGGAGTGAACCTGGGGATTTTCCTTGGGTCCTTCTATGTTCCCCTTATGTAGCCTTCCCCCAGGAGCCCCCCTCCCTGTTATCCAGCTGAAGCAAGGACTGTGATGGCTGCAGCAGAATTTCACTCTTAAGACAACAAAGCTGTGCCCAGTTCCCTAGTTATTTTGGCACCAAATACACAGTTTCCAGGGAAACCGGCTTTTCCCCCCTCCCCTTCACTAGGCAGGATATTACAATAAGATTTTCACTGATGCTCAGCTACAATGTGGGCCCTCCTCCCAGCCTCCTCCCTGGGCCTTCAGATCCTCCCAGGTGGCATTCTTCAATTTTGCAGTCCCTTTACTTTCTGAGCGAGGCTTGGGATGCGTGTCTCTGTCTATACCTCTTTCCCAGCCATAGCTGGGGCTCCTTTTGTGCGAGGCTCTTTGAGTCTTCCTCCTCAACCCTTGCTGGCCTTGGGCTGTTCATTGACAAGTTTGGACCGGTGGGGCATGCAGGGAATGACTGACTGAGTAGGCAGAGGAGCTGATCGTTGGCATGGCTTCTCTTGGGCTTTGCCTAATCCATTTCCCGATCATTTTCCAAGGAGCTTTTGTCGTACAGCTGGTGCCTGCATCTCCTGGACCCCCTGCCCCTTCGTCCATCAGTTTTCTTCCCGTAACCAACAGATCCTGGTTCATTTGCTCCTTCGTGACTTAACCAACTTGTTTTAATTCAAATATCCAAACAGATTTCAACTATGAGTACGTACAGAGAGAAGCTCTCAGGGTTCCCCTGATATTTCGAGAAAAGGATGGACTGGGAATTAAGTAAGTTGCTGAAACTAACTGCTCCTTCCCCCGTCTTCCTCCCTAACATACTTTATAGCTTGGGATGGATTTCTTCCACCCTCTTCCCACCTCTCATCACTGAGAAGGATCTTTTTCATGATCTGGGAACAGCATCTCCTTGTTCAAGGCCTGACAAAGGGGAAAAACTCTCCAAAGACTGGTCTTTTGCAGGGACTTTGGGCAGAGAGGACGTAGGGGAATTAAGCAGTGTTGACTTTTTTCCCTGACCCACCCCAGTTACACTCAGTGACCTCCTACAGTGAATTGTACCTCTCCTTCCCCTTGCCCCAGAGCAGGAAACTGAGGCAGAGCCTGAGCTGCAAAGAGACAAGTCGGCCTCTAAGCCCAGACCCAGAGCACTTAGATACACGTTTCTTACGCAGATTCCCACTGCGTGTGTTTCCTGGAGTGCCAATGTCTCCCCTTTCTTTGCCTGCCCCACAGCCTGCCCCTCCACCCCTCCATTCTGTCTGTTTTCGTTCACTGAGATCTGTCAGAGCTCCAGGTGGGGGAGAGGTCCCTGAGGCAGGCTGGAAGAACAGGTTTCTGCCCCTTGGGCAGGGGTAGGGGAGGAGGCTTGGGGTGTCATCCCAGGCTGCCTCTCTCCAGCATCTGCTGCCAGACTTGCTCAAGAGGCGATTCCTGTGAGTAGGAATGAAACCTTGGGCATCATTGTTAATTAACAGTGAATCGTAGCCCATATTACCAAATCCCTGGAACTGGTACAATGTATGTCTTTTTTTCCCTCTGAACTTAAAGGGGTCTCTCCCACTTCCCATACAACTCCTTATGGAGAGTATTTTCTAGAGGGAGGAAGAGATGTAGAGAGAGTTACCCACCCTGAAAGAAAGCAGGTGTTTGAATCTCCAGCTCTGGCCCCTACCTTTGACCCCATACTTCAGGCTTCTTTGGAAAAATTGGATGGACAGTGGATGTCCCACCATCTGCAGAGGTTCAGGTTTGAGTTGCCTCTTGGGGTAGGCAAGGGCCTCAGTGCTTCTGGGATGACCCTCCCTGGAGGCATCAACGGGTCTTCCTCCCTCCCTCTGGATTTTCTCATTTTGAGTTCTCAAACTGAGGGCAAGGGGCCTCTTTTGGAAAAATGGTTTCCCCGGGCCAAGGGTAGAGTCTTGCTCTGCTGTCTGTGGCCTCTCACCACAGGTCTGTGCTCCTCTTTCCCCAGGATGCCTGACCCTGATTTCACAGTCCGAGACGTCAAACTCCTAGTGGGTAAGTCGCTTGCTGTGCGTGTGGCTCAGAGATGCTGAAGTAGGGAAGGGGAAAGAGGCGCTCACCACCTGCCCGTTTAGACTTTTAAAGGCCTCTCAAAAAGAAAGTTCCCACGGGAGGGGGCAGGAGCAGGTGTGAGCTGCAACCGTTTCATTCTGGAGAGCAGGTAGGATTGCAAAGTCAGAAGAAGCTGTATCAGAGGGCGTTGGCCAGTTCACGGTTTTATGAGGCCCATTTGGACCCTGCCTCCAGCCTGGGTGTCAGCAACACAATCTTAGATCTCTCCTCTGTGTTTGTTTGTGGGTTGCCTGGTAAATACTGGGTGCTCTGTGATCCCTCATAGACTTTCAGGCTTTCGAGGGGAGTGGCTATTCCTCTTGGTTCCTCAGGGTTCTAGACAGGCCTGGGGTAGGGCTTGGAACTGTGAGCTCGGCAAATGCACACGAGCTCTTTGAGCACCTGCAGGTGGCTGATGATTTAGTGCTCTGGACGCTCGGTCAGGTAGTAGGTGGCATTTCAGATCTTACAGGCTGTCGTTCGAACAATCTATTCTTTCCAGAAAAACACACTTTGGGTACATGGTCAGAGTTGCAAGTGGATGGATAAGTTCTCTGCCCGCTTGATGGGTGCAAGAGGCAATCAAGAAGTAAACAGTGGATCAGGTGCGGTGGTTCACACCTGTAATCCCAGCACTTTAGGAGGCCGAGGCGGGCGGATCACGAGGTCAGGAGTTCAAGACTAGCTTGAGCAATATGGTGAAACCCTGTCTTTACTAAAAATGCAAAAAATTAGGCGGGCATGGTGGCACATGCCTGTAGTCCCAGCTACTCAGGAGGCTGAGGCAGGAGAATCGCTTGAACCTGGGAGGCGGAGGTTGCAGTGAGCTGAGGTCGTGTCACTGTACTCCAGCCTGGTGACAGAGCAAGACTTGGTCTCAAAAAAAAAAAAAAAAAAAAAAAAAAAAAAAAAAAAAAAAAAAAAAAAAAAAAAGGAAAGAAAAAAGGAAGTAAACAGTGGGCTGAGGGCAGTGACTCATGCCTGTGGGCAGATCACTTGAGCCAGGAATTTGAGACCAGACAATAATAAGTGTTAGCAAGGATGTAGGGAAACCGGACCCCCACACACTGCTTGTGGGAGTATAAAATGGCACAGCTGCTTTGGTAAACAGTCTGGCAGTTCCTCAGCAAGTTAAACACAGTTACCACGTGATCCAGCAATTCCACTCCTAAGGACATACCCAAGATAAGTGAAAATGTATGTTCGACACGAACCTGTATGTGCTAGCAGGACGTGGTGGCAGGTGCCTGTAATCCCAGCTACTCGGGAAGCTGAGGCGGAACTGCTTGAACCCGGGCGGTGGAGGTTGCAGTGAGCTGAGACTGTGCCACTGCACTCCAGCCTGAGTAACAGAGCAAGACTCTGGCTCAAAAAAAATTAAAAAAAATTTAGCCGGGTATGGTGGTGTGTGCCTGTAGTCCCAGCTACTCAGGAGGCTGAGGCAGGAGAATCACTTGAACCCGGGAGGTGGAAGTTGCAGCTAGCCAGGCCAGTGAGCCAGTGCACTCCAGCCTGGGTGACAAAGCGAGACTCTTGTCTTTAAAAAAAAAGGAGTATTTCAGAATTTAGTGGGGATAGTTATACAGCCATCCGCTACATTGAATATACTACTAAAACCAATGACTTGCACCTTTTTTTTGGTGGGTGGGGGACAAGTCTCACTCCATCACCCAGGCTGGAGTGCAGTAGCGTGATCTCAGTTCATCACAACCTCTGCCTCCCAGGTTCAAGTGATTCTCCTGCCTTAGCCTCCTGAATAGCTGGGACTACAGGCACACACCACCCAAATGGCTGGTATCACAGGAATGTGCCACCACACCTGGTGAATTTCGCATTTTTAGTAGAGAGGAAGTTTCACCATGTTGGCCAGGGTGGTCTTGAACTCCTGACCTCAAGTGATCCATCTGCCTCAGCCTCCCAAAAGTGCTGGAATTACAAGTGTGAGCCACTGCACCTGGACAACTTGTACATTTTTAAATGGTTAAGTGGCAAATTTTATGGTATGCAAATATTACCTCATTTTTTTTTTTTTTTTTTTTTTTTGAGACTGAGTTTCGCTCTTGTTACCCAGGCTGGAGTGCAATGGCGCGATCTCGGCTCACCGCAACCTCCACCTCCCGGGTTCAGGCAATTCTCCTGCCTCAGCCTCCCGAGCAGCTGGGACTACAGGCACGTGCCACCATGCCCAGCTAATTTTTCGTATTTTTAGTAGAGACGGGGTTTCACCATGTTGACCAGGATGGTCTCGATCTCTTGACCTTATGATCCACCTGCCTCGGCCTCCCAAAGTGCTGGGATTACAGGCTTGAGCCACCGCGCCCGGCTACCTCAATTTTTTAAATGTGACCACATGTGGTGGTTCAAGACCAGCCTGGGCAACATAGCAAGACCCCATCTCTACAAAAATAAGTAAATAATGCAGGCTGGGCGTGGTGGCTCACACCTGTAGTCCCAGCACTTTGGGAAGCCGAAGTGGGAGGATCGCTTGAGGCCAGGAGTTTGAGACCAGCCTGGTCAACATGGTGAAACCCCATCTCTACTAAAAATACAAAATATTAGCCAGGCATGATGCTGGGCCCCTGTAATCCCAGCTACTCAGGAGGCTGAGGCAGGAGAATTGCTTGAATCCGGGAGGTGGAGGTTGCAGTGAGCAGAGATCAGACATTACACTCCAGCCTGGGCGACAAGAGCAAAACTCCGCCTCAAAAAATATAAAAACAAAAACACAAAAATTAGCTGGGCTTGTGGCAGGTGTCCATAGTCCCAGCTACCTGGTAGCTTAGGTGGGAGATCACTGGAGCCTAGGAGTTTGAGGCTGTCGTGAGCCAGGATCATGCCACTGCCCTCCACCACACTCTGTCAGGGCAGCAGAGCGAGATCTTGTCTCAAATAAAAGAAAAAAAAAAGAAAAGAGGGCAGTAGAGGTGGCCGACACCTGTAATCCCAGCACTTTGGGAGGCTGAGGTGGGCAGATCACGAGGTCAAGAGATCGAGACCATCCTGGCCAACATGGTGAAACCTGTCTCTACTAAAAATACAAAAATTAGCTGGGTGTGTTAGCAAATGCCTGTAGCCCCAGCTACTCGGGAGGCTGATGCAGGAGAATGGCTTGAACCCCGGAGGCAGAGGTTGCAGTGAGACAAGACTATGCCACTGCACTCCAGACAGACTGCCTGTCTAAAAAAATAAAGAAAAAAGAAATAAGCATCTTTGAACCCGGGAGGCGGAGGTTGCAGTGAACCGAGGTCATGCCACTGCACTCCAGCCTGGCGACAGAGCAAGACTCCGTCTCAAAAAAAGAAAAAAGAAAGCAGGAACAGCCTCCAGCCCCCTCTCCCTTGGCATTTCTGTGACAATCAAGTGGAGTGATGAATGTTAAAGTGCTCTGCAGAGGGACAGCTGCTCTGAACTGGGAGGAGGCCCCGACTGCAGTTGGCATGGGAAATTATGATGCCCATTTTGGCCTTTGAGCTGCACATAGGCTTTCGGAGAGGGTGATAGGGCACATTTGTTGTAAGTGACCTAAGTGCAAATGTAACTCTAGCTGTCATAAGCAGAAGAGAATTCACTGGCTTGGGTATAGGTTCAGGGTGTACCTCCAGGCACATTGATGTCTGGACGCTCCAACGTGGTCTTGAGAAGTTGACTCTGTTTCTCTTTCTGCTTCCCGCTTCAACTCCCTCTTTCCGCTTCATTCTTTTTTGTTTTTAAAGACGTTTATTTGGGAATAGAGCATTACAATGGTAATATGCATGCTATAATAAACGACGTGTGTATTCAGGGAGGTAACGGAAGACAAACTTTTTTTTTTTTTTGAGATGCAGTCTTGCTGTTGTGGCCCAGGCTGGAGTGCAGTGGTACGATCTCTGCTCACTGCAACCTCTGCCTCCCGGGTTCAAGTGATTCTCCTGCCTCAGCCTCCTGAGTAGCTGGGATACAGGTGTCTGCCACCACGCCCTGCTAACATTTTATTTTATTTTAGTAGTGACAGGTTTTCGCCATGTTGGCCAGGCAGGTCTCAAATTCCTGACCTTGTGATCTGCCCACCTCAGCCTCCCACAGTGCTGAGATGACAGGCGTGAACAACTGCACGTGGCTGTCCGCTTCATTCTTAGCAGGCTTCTCCTCATGGGAGGGTAAGGAGGGTGGGTGAAGAAGGAGCCCATGGCAGCTTCAGACATCTATCCTGCCAGCTCAGAGTCCTTCCCAAACCCTCGGTCGTTCCCTTAAGTGTCTCTGGATTGGCCCTGACAGGCTTAGCACAGCCTTGGGCCAGACCGGAGCTGCTGGCTGGGGTCAGCCCAGCACAACCACGTGGACTGAAAGTGGGGAAGCAGTGATTCTCCAGGGTTGCTGGGTGACATAAACACGGCCCTAACAGACTTGACAAGTTCTGCTGTGGAGGGCAGTGTGTGGGGAAGGCTGGGCCAGTCTTCCCAGCCACTGCGGGGTCACAGCCTCTGTCTTCCACTGTCTTGCCTTGCATCATGGCGGGTGGCTGTTTGAGAAACGGACTTGTGCACCACCAGGTGTTCAGGCCACAACTTGGGGCTGCAGCCTCTTCTCTAATGTCCTAAAATCACGCTTTTCTCTATCAGCAGTCTGTTCCAAGCTCCAAGCCATTTTTTTTTTTTTTAACAAAAAGGCAGTTTCCATTTCTGTAACACTGTACCCTTAAAAAAAAACCCATTCATTGAAGTATAATATACATACCAAAAAGTGCACATATGGTAAGCACATAGCTTGATTAATTTTAACAAACAGAACACATCAGAGTAACCAGTACCCAGAACCCACTGTGTCTGCTTGTCCAGTCTCTGCCCACCACTGCTGGTGAACCTGACTTCTAGCCGCATGGATAAGTTTCACCTGTTTTCACACTTTATGCCAGTGAAATCGTGGAGGATGTCTTCTTTAGTTTTTGGCTTCTTTTGCTCAATTTT